TTACTCTTACACTTTGTAAATGTAACTATAACATTTGCAATACCTAAAACATCTGTAAACTGGCTGTGCTTACAGTTATGTAATGTTGGTTACGACATTAAAAAGATTTGTGTGTGTGTGTGCACTAACTGGCATTTATTCCGCGACACCTTCAATAACATTTGGGCTGGTACTCCTCATCACAATCACTGTACTCAGGACACCTTAGACCATCTTGTCACCAGCCTTACAAATACAATCACTAACTCTCACGTTATTGTGTCCGAGGTCAAACATTTTAAACACAAAAAGGTTCCTTGGTGGACCACTGAGCTAGAAAACAAGAAAAAAGTTGTTAGGAGATTAAGGAGGCAATTTAGGAATGAACAGGACCCGGATATTAAAGTCACACTTAGAGACCAGTACAGGCACAAACACAATGCTTACAAAACCCTTATAAATAAAACAAGGATTAACACTTGGAAGTACCAACACTTCTGTACCAACACTTGCAGTCGCAACCCCTAGTCTGAACCATACTACTTAGCTTGTAAGGAAAAACGCTAGTTCCAAACCCTAGTTCCACTATCCAGCTCTCTGATGGTTGCTACACTAACAACACAGAGAAACTATCAAGCACCTTCTCATTAGTCTTTACCCTTCGAATGATCCACAGCAGGATGACAGTACACAAGTGATCATCAGAAGTTCTACACTCTGCCTAACACAGATAATGACCATAATTTCACCTATATTGAGGTTTTGAATGCCATTCATTCGCTCACCGATAACAAAGTCCCTGGCCTTGATGGCATAACAACTAAGATGATTAAACACGTTTGAAGCCAATCCTACAGTGTTTGTAATTCTCTTCAATATCTGCTTGAATACTAGCCTTTTTCCTACTCAGTGGAAAAAGGCTAATGTTAATTGATTCCCAAACCCACCAGTGCTAACACTTACAAAAAATAGAGACTAATCTGCCTTCTCCCAACTCTGGGAAAAGTGTTAGATGGTCTAATGCAGTGTTTTTCAACCTTCTTGAATATGCGACCCCTTTACAAGTTAAAAACTTCTGGCGACCCCCTAGGGCCATATTAAAACTACATCAGTGATTTTAAAATCTACGTATTTAATTTTCTTTCTGTTGAGACCTAAATATCGATTGAAAAATCAATTGTACTGTAAAATAAACAGGTACAGCCTTCTCACTGAAATTGTAGTTTTTTTTATTGTAGTGTAGGTCTTACAAACACTTGTCTTTTTCTTTTACCCACGACCCCCAGGTTGAAAAACACTGGTCTAATGATTAATAGGATCACTTGGCATCTACATAAGTGTAGAGTCTTGTACCAGAATCAGTTTGGCTTCTCTAAAAACAAAGGTACTGTAGATGCCATCCATCAGGTTGTTAATTACATCCACCAGGCTAAGCTTAATAATCAGCGTACGGCAATAATCACTATTGACTTTAGAGGCGCCTTTGATCATGCCTGGTGGCCTTCTATTTTGCACACATTACACGCTCATCACAGCCCTCAAAATTTTTACAAACTTCTTCAATCTTAACTTAGCGACAGGAGGGCAGGTGTTTATACAACAAAAAATAATATAATCATACCCAACACTTGGAGCTGTCCTCAGGGATCCAGGTCTGGTCCTGGTCTCTGGAACATAGCCTATAACTCTATCCTGCACTTAAACGACACCCTACCTCCTGGCTGCTGCAAACAGGGCTATGTGGACGACACAATTATTCTAGCTTCACACAGGAACAGCGAACACTTACAGGACATATGCAATGACATTCTCAATAACATTCACCAGTGCAGTATTAAGCATAGGCAACCAACCCATTAACACAGACAAATGTGAAAGCATGATAGTTGGTAGGAATGCGCTACTCGTCAGGAAGCTTACCCTTTGAATAGGTGCTCACAGAATAAAGCAAACAACAGAAATTAAATATTTAGGTGTAATGCTTTCGGATAAACGATGCTCTACTGTACTTGCTCTAACTGGCACTAACTAATCTTCCAGTATAGAAATTGCTAGAGCAAGGACTGTTCACGATGAAGGATGAATGTTTCGAACTCTGAGTGTAAACATTTAGTTCCTGATAGCCTTAATCTTTTCAATGTACAGTAGTACCTCAGGATACGAAATTAATCCGTTCCGAAACTGAGATCGTATCATGAAAATGTCGTAAGGTGGATCATCTTTTCCCATACGATTACATGTAAAACCAAATAATTCGTTTTAACGCGAAAAACATACTCAAATTAAAGCCAAGTAATACATTTAAAAAAATAACTGTAGTAAGAAAAACAAATGAAAAATGAGAACTAATGTAACGTCGTATGGTGAGTTTTTGTTCGTATCGTGGAGCACAAATATGTTCGAATTTCATGTCGTATCCTGAAAATTTCGTATGCTGGGGCGTTCGTAACCTGAGGTACCACTGTAATTATCATATTTTGTATTTATTCTGTTACATATAACCCATTGTTTATTGTATAACTTTCATACACATTATTCTTGACAAGAGACTTAACTTCACACCCCACATCCAATGCTCTCATTAGTATTGCTAGGAACATATGGGGCCTTGGCCCTACCGCTACTAAGCTTATTTACAGGGGTGCAATTCAGCCAGCACTCCTCTATGCCGTACAGGTTTGGCAGCCACGTGGCCCTGGGGCCACGTGGCTGCCAAAGTCCATAACTGTAAAAAACTTATCTGTTCAAAGGATTGCAGCTCTCCGCATTTGTGAGGCTTATAGGACAACACCCACTAGTGCCCTTACGGTAATGTCAGGGTTGACCCCTATTGACTTATAAATTAAACACATTATTTGGCAGGAAAATCTCATCACCTTACCCTGGCGAGATTATAGCAAACTCGGATGTCAACAAAATGATTAGAGTAGGTAAGATTCCCTCAGTTTGACCTTGATTGATGATATCAAAAAATTCAGCATCGACAAAAATACCTTCCTGACTTACGATTACCACCCCTCTCACCAGCTTGCCCGACGTTTACTTCAGGTGATTATTCCATGTTTAGGATTTACACCAACGGTTCCAAGATGGGTGACAATGTGGGTGCTGCTTTTGTAGTTTACTCCAACTTAGGCCATGAGCTCCATAACATTTGCTTCCATCTAGGTACACACTGCTCAATAGCACAGGCAGAAACTTTAACTATTTATACGAGCTTAATTCACATTAGATGTAGGAAGGACAAAAGACACCACTTACACTATCGTATTTATTCTGACAGTAATAACAGGATTGCAAAGTTTAACTTTACACAGGATTGCAAAGTCTGATAGCCACTTAAAACTCATCCATCTCATACACCACATTCTCATACACTTAGACAACAACATTAGAATAGATTTCCAATGGGTCCCGGGTCATGCGGGGGTTCTCGACAATGAGACCACTGATCGTCTTGCCAAACAAGCTTCAAAGTCTTCAGTCACTAGAACCTTCAGTTACATTCCTATCTTATACATCAACAATCACGTCAAGAAACAAATCTTCATTCTGTGGCAAGACAGCTGGGACTGTGACACTACTAGTAGTCTCACGTACACTTTCATCCCTACTGTGATTCTTTGCCACTTTTACCCTAGTTACACCCTAACTCAGCTACTTGAAGGACACGGCAATTTTAAGCAATACTTGCATACAGGACATTCCAATTTTCAATGCTGAGCTTAATGTTTGTTAAAATTCGTTCCTTTTTTCAATGTTGAGGTAGCGCTGTTGTCAGCGCTGACTCAACGCACTCAGCACTCAACAGATATGTTGACTGCTACTTTCCAATGAATTGTGGGTAATTGGTAAGACATTTGAATGGAATCCATCTTGCTGAGAATGGAATTATGGGAACTAAGCACTTCGTGCTTGAGTTGGAACGTCGTTTATGACGTCAAATTGTTAACTTCAACACTCGTGTTGAAAATTGGAATGTCCTGATAGATTTAACCATTTAACCTTGGTTAAATGCAATTGTGGTATTCAGGGGGACACCACTTCACTTAGTTTTTCGCTGCAATAGGTACAATCACATTAGGGATAGTTTAATGAGAGCTGCTATTCTTGAAGGGTACAACAGGTCTTGTAACCCACACCAATTCATTCACATGCATACAATGTTCCATCATCTACTCGCTTTTATATCCCTTAGTGGGGCCCTTGAGAGCATTCGCTCCGGGGACACGGATGGCAATTAGCTTTCCCTTGCTTTGTTTCAACTGTCAGTATATAGCTGCCTTTCAACTTTGTATTTTAATTCTTATGTTCCATCTTCTTTTCGCTCTAAATTCGGTTAGTTTAAGTTGGTCCTAGTTGCAAGTTGGATTAGGGACTCTTAGCTTGATTTCTGGTTAGATTCATCCTAGGTTATGGTAGGTTAGTTTAGTTAGTGAGTAAGCTAATGTTCAAAAATAAACAAAATTTGGGATCTTGCGTGTTTGTCTTTTGTCCGTCTGTTCATCTCGTCTAGTTTGTCATCGTGTTCATTTTTTTCGCACTGTCTGTCTAGCTGTTAAGTAGTATTAATTAAGAATCATATTCACGTTCAGTTTCTGTAGCATTAAGTAGTTATAAGTCTTCCTACTAATAGCCACTTGGCACTAACTTCTACACTTAGCAATTCGTAGCGGCACTGGATCATTGGTGTTTGCTACACTCAGGTTTTCTTTTAGACCCTTCGGGGGAACTATGGCCTTGCAGCCTAAAAACTGCATGCCAACATCAAACAAAGGGTACTGTAGCCATACATACGCCATTCAGAGGGATCCTACCTTTCTCTACTATCTATCTCCTCTTCCCCTTACCCTCTTTTCCACTGGCTAAACGCCTCGTGTATGGCTGAAGTCTTTCTTGTACGTATGTTATGTAGAAAAGTATTGTCTTTAAATTGGTTCTATTCTAAATTCTTTTGTGAAAATTCAATATGCAAACAAGTTCTATTTAATGACATAAAATGAATTTTAATTTCTTTAATTTTTTACATTTTTTTACAGTAATTATTATAATGATTTTATTTGCAAATTAAACAGTATTTTTAAATTTTAATATGCAAAATATAAGTCTGTGCACCATTTATTTTAATGATGATTTTTGCTTATAGAAGAAGACTGTGATTTAATCCACAGAGACTTTGTAGAAACTATCATGAAAATGTTGAGTAAATAATAAATAAAACATTTTAAAATAGTTTATATTTTATAAATTAAAATGTAGAATTGGTGAAATCTCAGATGATGACAAAGTAGTTAACAATTTCTTAAAATGTATTAACGTTGCAGAATCAATGTTTTGAATACAAATAAAGGTCATTGCTCATTATCAAATGAATTTGGTCAACTGTCTGTGCACAGACTGGCCGAAGACATGTCCTGACACAGTTTGGAATCACTCATGTCATCAGCAAGTGCTGCTAAAATATCCAGAAGTAATTCTCTGCTAAGAAGATGAAATCTGGGTAATCGAGCCACCTGAAATAATATTTGTAAAAAAAAAAGATAATTTTAAAAATTAAGTTTTTTATTTATACATTATGTCAGAAAAAGAGCAAAAAATTGTACAAATTTATATGTAAATTATGATTTTCCTATTGATAGATATATAAGAAAGTATGAATTAATATTTGTGTACACCTCTAGAATTTTGCTCTGTCTTGTCCATATATAAAGTAAAACATATTAATATTTACCTTGGGAAAATGATGAACTATTAAATTTAGTGCATACTTTTTCATGTCTATTGCTTGTATTCGGTCAGCAGCTTCAAGTATCTGGAATAAAATTGATAAATAATTGTAATTGATAAATAGTGTATAAAAATATAATTGAAAAATGTTTTTGAAGAACAAAGAATATGAAATTATTAAATTTGACTCAATTCAGATTTTTGATATTCATATATTGAAGAAAAATATAATTTATTTTTGACAAGATATTAAGAAATAAAAAGTTTTTTCACAACATTACTGGGTATGTGTTCAAGATAATGGTGCATTTTGAATATATATTGTGCATGAACACTCTATACAGTACATTGTTGTATGCAATACTGGTCTTTTGCTTAACAATACAATATTCGACTTCACAAATCAAGTAAGTATTTAGAATTATCTGTAATGCTTTGCAATCACAGAATTATGCAAGTATCTCTTTTATGGGTCTATTCATATATCATTACAGAATAAATATATGAAATCATTTATTCAATAGTAGAAATTCAATTATCTGAAATGATAAGAAAAAACCTAGAATGTATAGTATTGTGCATACCATGGAGTATAATAAACAGAGCCCAAACTCTCTTGTAACTGAAAGTTACTACATCTGTCAATTCTAGTGTCTCAAAACTAGGTCATGTACATATTATATTAAATTTTGCATAAAGTAATTTACTTTCTAATACAATAATTGCATTATAATATTTATATTTTATGAAAATTTTATATATATTAAATTTTATATCATTTTATGAAAGATTATTCTGTATATATAAGAACTGAGATTTAACCTATTGGAAAATACTATAATTTGTCATTTACTTAGGTGATTCAATAAGTACTAGCAAATCCAGGAATTTAATCTTTTGTGTAAAATAAGAATACTATATTAGATACAATACAGTGGTACCTCAGGATACGAAATTAATCCGTTCCGAAACTGAGATCGTATCATGAAAATGTCGTAAGGTGGATCATCTTTTCCCATACGATTACATGTAAAACCAAATAATTCGTTTTAACGCGAAAAACATACTCAAATTAAAGCCAAGTAATACATTTAAAAAAATAACTGTAGTAAGAAAAACAAATGAAAAATGAGAACTAATGTAACGTCGTATGGTGAGTTTTTGTTCGTATCGTGGAGCACAAATATGTTCGAATTTCATGTCGTATTCTGAAAATTTCATATGCTGGGGCGTTCGTAACCTGAGGTACCACTGTAACTTATAAAGAATACATCACTTGAGAACTGCAAAATTTTTAAATTTAAAATAACTAAAAAAAATACTTTATTCTATTCTAAAAATTAATTAAACATATTAATTGCTTAAAATATATGCTTACCTGAATTACATTTTCAAAGGTAACATTCATTTCAAGATTCTGTTTGCAGAAAGCCTAATTAAAAATTTAAAAATTAATGCAAATTAATTTTATTTATGTTTATATATTTATCATTTATTTAAGAATTAAGCTATCAAATTTATAATTAAATATTAATAGCTCACCTGCAAACGATTATTCGAGAAACCATAAAAATAAGGTGCTGAAAATAAATATCTGGTGGATATTGTTAAAGATTACATGCAATTTAAAAATATATAGTTTCCTTTATATATTATAAAATATGGAAATTATTTAAAATGAATGTCCACAAAAATATTTTATGATATGTGAAACTAATTGTCAAATATAAAACTTATTGAATAAGAAATAAATTTAAAGGCTAGTTCAAAAAGTTTTTGTCCTTTTTCAAATCAACAAGAATTTACTTTCAGAAACACAACATACATCGCAATGAACTGTCATCATGTTTCTCAACTTAATGACCCCAATCTTGCACTTATCTCAGTGATGCATCAGTTTCGGGAAGCATTCTGCAGAAAAATCCAAGCCCACATGCTTTGGGGAAGGTTTTCACATGTGTTTCAACTGCTGCATTGCAACTGAAACAACAGTCCTCCAAATGTTGTTTCAGATTACAAAACAAGTGAAAATTGCTGTTTGCAAAGTTGGGACTGTAAAAGATGACTCAATTATTCCCAATGATGTTTTTGCAGAAACTTGTGAGTTTGTTGGGCAATGTCAGAGTGAGCATTATCATTCAAGAAAAATACATAAATACTTAACAAGCCTGGCCTTCTTCTTTGTACTGCCTTCTGCAGCTTTGATAATGTTTGACATTATCATTTGGTATTGATTGTTTCACCATATGTACAAGTGAAAATCTTCCTCAAGGGACTTGAGCCTGATATTTTTGAGATTTTTGATATTTCAGAAACTGGTTCAGAAACTGATTTTTGATATTTTCAGAAACTGGTTCAGCACTGGAATAAGTGTTTGAATCATCAAGGTGAGTAGTAGTATAGTGATGACTTAACTCATTGATCTACTTTTTGAAGGTTCAGACTATTTACAAAAATTAAAACATTTTCGAGTCTTTTCTTATCTTTTTACACAACCATAGAAGTAACAGTTAAACAGCTTGAAGAAAAACTTAATTATCTATTATTTGTCAATTTAATGAAGATTTTTCTTCAAGCCATTTAACTGTTATTTCTATGATTGTGTAAAAGGATAAGAAAAGACTAAAAAATGTTGTAATTTTTGTAAATAGTCTTAACCTTCAAATTGAAGATATCCTGGGTCAACATTGAGTATCATTGATCTACATTGATTAATGATATAAATGATCAATCAAGTCATTAATTTTATTTGTATGTATTTCTTTATTTATAACATTAATGGATATTTTCAAAATAATTCTATATTATCTCAATGAAATTGTATTTATTAAATTGTAAATTATTTTTGACATTCTGTACACACTTTTTCTAATTATGACATAAGTATCATTCAAAAAAATATGAAGTGTTAATCATACAATGATAATTATTGATAATATACATAAAATAAATTCCTTCTTGGGTTTACTGTGATTAATTCATAAATTTATATTTTATTGGTGTTGTTTAATTTTTATTACTGAATTATTTATTTCAATTGAATTACAGTAGAGCTTCGTTTATCCGAAAGTCGGTCAACTGAAATGTCGGTTAACTGAAAGTGTTCCAGTCGGCAAATTTAAATTTCTGCTAGTACTGTGGCACTGCAACCTTTGGCTATGTCTTGGGCTACTCCAATATATTTTTTTGGGTGTGTGTATTTTAGCTGGCAACACTAGCACTTTTATGTGGTGTTTTTCTGAGGACTGTGTGTTGGTACGTGTGTCGTGCTGAATCAAACCTTTTTGATACTAGATTAACTTCTAAAGTATATTCTTTTTTTGTTTTTATATTTTTCAATATATTTATTTTGTTTGTACAAAATAAATAAATAATTTTTAACGATACAATAGTCATGATTATTATTATTATTATAAAAATGTTCATTAGGCTTAACATTGATGAAAATTCAACGCAAAGCGACATGCAACGAAGAAAAATTTCAACATGGGATAGGTTAATATAATTTTTCATACATAATCGGTTATCTGAACAATCCCAGCCCCCAATTGATTCGGATAAACGTTGCTCTACTGTATTACTTTATAAAATTGTTAATCATATATCTAAGAAATATTAAATATAAATATATATTTAAAAGATACAGAGAATCTTCTGGTGGCATTGTCACATCACCATAATAAATGTATCGTAATAATGTATTAAAAGACTGCATTGATGGTATCATTTCACCAATAGCAATCTATACTTAAAGAAAATAATAGTTACATAAACTGTCAAAAAATTAATTATATCTAACTTAATTACTGCAAATAAACCCACAGTTACTGTATTGTTATCTGGCATAAAAGAACGAAACATGGCTTCAAAGTAACTACATCTTGCAGCAAGAATAGCTTTGTGAGCTGGAATAGGATGGCCATCCAATAATAAAATTATATCACAAAAATCTTTTCCAGTACTTTTTAAAAATAATTCCATATCTTGTTCTAATGTTGTTCCTAAAATGAATTAAAATAATTAGATAGTCATTTTTACATCAAGAAATTTATGAAATGAATAATGTGTGTTAGTTGATTACATCTGAATACTTGAATATCCAAGGAAAAAATGAATATATAACATTCATTAGTAATGGTAATAAAATGTATTCTACATTTTATATATGAGTATTCTACAATATACCTAATGTACATGTTCTGCAATAATATGTAAAAAAAAAACTGTTTCTTTAAACAAAAATGGCTAAAAGGACAAGTTTTTGAAAATACTGTGGAATCCAGTTATTGTTACAGATAATATTATCAATCAGCTATTGTTATCAGTCCCAAAATACTGTATAAAATTAAAAATAATCCACCTATTATAATCAAACTTTGGCTATTATTATCAATTGTAATAATTACACTTAGGGACAAACAATAACAATTCATAGAAAAGTCATACTAAAAGGACCTTTTCTTTAAAACTTACTTTTAGTTGAAACATACCTTTTATCTTTTATATACTGTAAGGGCATGACAAGAATTCTTAGAAAATACATGTATTGTATATCTTTACTTGAAGTGTGCCTTTGGGAATAAACATTCGTGTTGCAATTTTATCCAGTTTAATTTTGTGATCTGTTGAGTTCAAAGTAATTGTTTATAAGAAATGTAGCATATATAAACAAGTAATGTTGTATTAATTGTAAAGTTTGTGATAAATATAAATTGTACACATTAATACTGTAATTTCTGTAATACAGTGGAACCCCGGTTAACGAACTTAATCCGTTCCGCGACTCCGTTCGTTAACTGAATTGTTCGTTAACCGAAGCAATTTTTCCCATAGAAATTAATGCAAATGCAATTAATCCGTTCTAATCTCCAAAATTTTTGTGATTTTATTTGTAATATACAGTAATTTTCTTTGATGAAAATGTAGGAAAACGTAGTATCTATCATTACAGCAACAAACATGTAAACTTTGTTTAATAAAATAGCACTGTACATACCTTCGTTTGTTGTAGTTGGTGGCAGAAAAGTGGAGATATACGAACCTTAATGCTTAGAAGGGGAATCCCCTCCAAAAAATAATGGGTAGCACTTCATTGGAAGATTCTTAGAGTCGAAGTCTCTTTCGGAAAAAAAACCCACCAGTGGCTAAGTGGTCTTCGTACCTTGAACACGGGGAGTTCGTTCGTGGGTTCGCACCTCGCTCAGACGGGCTGGCCACGTGGAGTTTTCCGGGTTTTCTCCACGTCTGTAACGCCTAAATAGGGGCCAGTTTCCCTTAAAAACACCTCCCAGAAGGCATTCCCCTAGGCAGATCGCCCAAGTGTTGCGTTGCCATAACTTAACAAACAAACAAACTCTTTCCGTAAGGAACAAGAAATTGATCTAAAGTTGATTGTCTTACTCTTTTAATCAAAATTTTTCTCAAATGCGATAGCGCATTGTCGTTTATATTGCGTTGTCGTTTTCTATTGCCACTATGACTTTTTTCTTTCTTGGATGCCATATTGATTAAATATATAAATCACAAAACTGAAAAAAGAAGTATAGCACAAACACTCGGAAAAGCAATGCTTAACTCGCGCATGCCTAACACCAACTAAAATTTGACACAAAATACCGTTACGTTCGTTATCCGAGACAAAATTTTTGCAAAATAAAAGTTTGTTAACCGATTTGGTCGTTAACCAGGACGTTCGTTAACCGGGGTTCCACTGTATATTGAATTCAATAATGCAAATTTTTTTTATCTACTTAATGTTATCAGCTGGTTACATTATCAAAAGTTGAAAGTCTCAAAGTGATCATAATTAGTGGATTCCACTGTATTTTGATTTAATTAACTTACAAGGAGATGGCTTGACGTTGGGGTCTCCAATTTTGATCAAAATTGGTGAGGTTATAGTGCATCCCCAACAACTAACTTGTGCATTAAGGTGCAATACTCAAAATTAAAGGAGAAAATTGAACTTGAAAATTTCAAATCACTTAAAACCTTTAGAATATCTCTCATTTCTATAGTGGCCAGTGTCTTGGTGGGGGTGTGCTGGTTGGTGAGATTGGTGTTTTGAATCTCAGAGGTATTAATGTATTTTTTTAATATGAAACTATAATTTTTAATTTATTCTTAATATTTTTAAACTTATTATATTTATTTAAAAGTTATTTTGAAATACTCAGTACAGTACATATGAGATTCATACCAACATTTATTTGTACTTTATTTTGGAAAAGGATTAGATTTAAACAAAATTTAATCTAAACAAAATCTAACCAACTGAATAAAAAGATGAAAAATTTGCCTAGTGTTTGAAAGTTGTCATTACATTGTGTCTGTGTAAGCAACAAAGTATACAACACGTAAATGAAAGTGTAAGCAACACGGTTTCATTAGAATAAAAAAAAAATTAAACAAAATTATTATTATTCAAGGCCAATTTTGTTAATGAAAGATTTTTATCAATATTGTTCAATCTGTGCTTTCTGTGAGCACAATTTTGTGGATGATAGTTGTCATAGAAGCATGTGAAACAATAAACTTTTCTGCAGTGTGCACATTGAATAAATTCAGATTTTCACAATAAGAAGATTTATGTATGTCACTGGAAAAACAAACTGTTTAAAAGCATTCCTCCATCATCAACTTATTTGAAGGAGAATCACATTGGAAAATATCAGAGCATTTACCACCTTCACAATTTCTGAAATTGTTGAAGAACCCTTGGATGCAATTAAGTCTTGATTTTGAAGAATCTTTTGCAATATTGTTCACAGTGATTCTTCTGCAGAACAAATTTCTATGCTATTGATGTTAACATTAGATATCAAAGCCATCTTTTCATTCTTTAGTGAACAAAGATGCAATTATAGACACATTTAGGCTAAACAATGACTTTGTTGCCAGAGTAAGTATGTTCTGTACATGAAAATACAGAAAATGTTTTGTTTTAAATAAATATTGTTAGGCAGCATTTGTTAATTGCTTTTGACATTGACTTGTTACTGGAAACAAATGGATTTTATTATTTTATTACCCTGTTTATTGTGCATTTGTAGTTTTCTAAAAATAAATCAGTTTTTCTCTCTGACAATATTATAAATTTAAAAACACCAAGAATAAATTAAAAATTATAGTTTTGTATAGGAAATAAATACATTAATACATCCGAGATTCAAAACATGAACCTCATGATTACAAAACCGGTGTGCCCCTACCAAGCCACTGGCCACTGTATAAATCAGAGAAATTCTGAAGGCTTTAAGTAATTTGCAATTTTCAATCTCAGTTTTCTTCTTTAATATTAGTGTTGTGCCTTATAGCTTAGCAAATGTCAATCATTGGGGATGCACTATATTCTCAATGAGTTTGATCAAAATCAGGGACTCCAACATCATGCCGTCCCCTTGTTAGTATCTCAAAAGAATTATTGTAAAATTGTCATTGTGCTTAGAATTAGATTATAGGACACTGATTCTTAAATAATATAGTAAAATTTATTTACATATGAATTCTATTAAAGTTCAATTTCAAAAATAATTTAAATACGTACCAGGAGTATCAAATTGTGGTTCCATTAATGGTCTTACAACAGGCATTTGTCTTCTTCGTATAATTTCTACCATTAATGGTTGAGCAATTGTTTCAAATTCTTTGCTCATTACTATTTGATTATAATTTCCTTCTTTTACTATAAATTTCAAACAAAATTCCTTAAAAAGAAAAACAATTTGTTACATAACTAAAATATAAAACACAGAATTATAAACTAAATAATTAATATACCAGTAAATCAAACCAGTTAAACAAACACCAAAAATATTTAATATATCAAATGTTTTCTTCTGTATTAATCAGACATCCTCAGGTTACATAAGCCTATTCAAGAACAGAGCACCAAAATGAATACAGAACTCAAACTGAATTTTTAAATGGCCAAGGTTCAGGCATTTGCACTACTTAGAGAATGTATATTATAAAAAAAAATAAATAAACATTATGTAATTAATAAAATAAGACTATCTTAATTAATACAGACTTAAGAGCATACATGGAGTAATTTACTATAGTTTAAACCATGCTCTCCATGCCATTGACAGACTGTCTAATTTCCTGAAGTTTACTGAAGAGCAATGTTATAGTTTTTATAATACTATATTTGTTCTTTGATGCAAAAGTCAAGAATCTCTTGGATCAAAGAATAGAACATTCATTAATATACATTGGAGTGACAAAGGTTCTTGACACTTGCATCAAAGAACAAATATTATATTATAAAAAACTCTGTAATATTGCTCTGGCATGTACACAAGTGATGATAACATTCTGGTTGCATATTATAATACCAGACTGCTATACTATGTAGTAGATCTGGCATGTTTAAAATACCTGGTCACTCTAGAAATTTATAGGGCTACGAAAAATTGGATTGCCATCAACTTCAGGAAATCAGACAATCTGTCAATGGCTTGGAGAGCGCAGTTTGAACTATAGGAAATTACTCCATGTATGCTCTTAAGTCCGTATTAATTAAAATAGTCTTATTTTATTAATTACATAACATTTATTCATTTATTTTTCTTTATGATATACATTCTGAGTAGGGTGCATGCCTGAACCTCAACTGTTTAAAAATTTGATTTGGTGTTTTATTCTTTACTAGGCTTATTATTGATTGATACAGATGAAAATGCTCATTGTATTAAATATTTTTTTGTTTGTTTAACTGGTTTGGTGCACTGATGTGTTTTTAGATAATATAATAGTTCTTAAGGTGTTTAATTAATAATTAATTTAAATTTATCTTAATTTTCTTTTTCTTCCTCATTTGTTTAGAAGATATGATAAAAATTTTGCCTATTAGAAGAATATTAAATAGACAATATTTTACTATAAATTTACAACCACCAATATGTAATTAATAAATATAGAATTAACAATTCATTGGAATTTAATTCTTAAAATATAAATTTTCACATTCATTATTTTATTTTATTCAGTTAAATTGATTTGATATTAGAGAGGTTTTTAGAAATTTTATCATCATCATCTTGTAAATGTTCTGTTCAAATATTCTGTGAACAAGAAGAGAATATAGTAATGAAATGAAACATTCACAACAATTATTTTTCTCAAAAATGTTTCAGCATATTTAAAGATTTTATAATTTGTTATTTTTAATTTTGATATATTATCTGTGATATTTTTAAATCTTAATTTTAATAAGAATAAATTAGTTATATATAAGAAAAAAATAAAATCTATAAAAAAATATTAAGGTTTAAAATGTCTAATCTCCACATACACAAATCTGATTAAGTTGATCTGCGAGTTTTGTAAAGCAATAATAATTTGTGTAAATGTCATACAAATTTTATATATTTCTAACAAAATTGATTTTTTCTTCTTAAACACTTTCAGCATACATAATATAATAATTTTCTTTTAAATCTACATATAGATATAAATAAAGTGTAAGAAATAAAATACTTTTCCAATTAATCTTTCTAATTTGAATATTCTTTAAACATTAGAAGAATTTTTCTATAAATTTTAAATATTTTTCTGCATGTTTAAAAGTAAGTTATATAATGTCTATGTTCTGATTAGTCTTAAATCTAAATTTCATAGATGCTTGTAGAAAAGTTTGTTTAGTAAGAACAGGAGTGATAAAATTTGAGGCTTTAATTTATAATAAACAATATCTGTAGAGTAATATTTGAGATCATTTGAACTTGGATTAGTAATTATTTGAAGATATACTTTACATTCAACCAAACATCCCACATATAATTTTATGATTTAGTATGGCAGTTCCATATTTATGTAAAAGAAAATATGATTCATACAATAGCCTTTCAATGTATAATCATGGTAATAATAAATACATATATATATATAAACTATTAAACTCTCTTAATCACTGTAATAATGTTTAAATGCTTAAATATAAAAAAAAATCTCATAAAATCAGTTTAAGACATTATATCATCCACCTTTCTTTTAAAATAATCATGTTATAAATATAATAATTAAGATTTAACTAATAAGTAATGAATGTTAATTAAATAATCAAATAAAGAAAGATGTACTGTATTACAAAATAAGTGATGATATTCACAAGAAATGAAAATCTGATTTATGGAGTTAAGTAGGACAGTTTTTTTACCTCCATTTACATACAATGTTTTATACAGTATATAAATATATTGAGATAATTTATGAAATAAATTCAGTAACTAATATTAATTTTTTTTGTTTTCATTTATATTTGTAGACATAAATCAATGTCAAGAATTTTTAAGTGATTTGATACAATTATTAGATTTTTTAAATTATTTTTCATCACATTTTAGCAGAGTTAACATAGTATTAGATTTTTAAAAAAATATTTATTTTAAAATATCATTTACTTTTATAAAATCAAGTTTTAATCCAGATGCATTCTGCAGAGCCACTAATACATTTCTATGATTAATTGCAGCTTCAAGATATTGAACACAGAGTTGTTCCAATCTCTTCATATGAAACTAAAATAAAAAATATATATCTGCATTAATATGTATAAAATGACTCAATTTTATTGGATTATTCCGTAACTTACTTGAACAGCTAATCTATAAACATCCATCATAAGAAGAACAATTCTATTGCTCAGCATATCTTTTCCTAAATTAAGGAAATTCATTATTTTATATATATTTTAAATAAATGTAAATAAATTAAAATCATAAATATACCAGTAAATTTTACAAAACGTTAATCACTGAATGTCAATCTAAATATTAATATATAAAATTACTTGTCCTGACTGACTGAGTCACTGATTCATCATTGCCCAGAGCAAACCGCTAAACCTAAAGAGGTGAAATTTGGTACATAGTTAGTGCACGTTTTCATGATGTACTCTAAGAGGGATTTTTCGAAATTCCCTGCAGGGGGGAGAGGGAGAGCATTAAGGCTTAACTGGAAGAATGGCTTCTACTGTACTTTTTAGATGTGATTTTTTGTTTTCAACTACATTTAGTCTTCATTGAGTACTTAGGTGTATTAAATTGATAACATTTCAGACATTGTTATAAATATTTTTATGTATTCCGATTTTTTAACCAAATGTTTGAACCATTTTAAATTCGAATTTGTTATTGCATATTGGTTCGATTATAGAATGATTGTAAACATTCCAGAAAATTGATCTATGGAACATAAAAATTATGACAAAATGTAAATGTTGATTAATTATTAATTCGTCAAAAACAACCTGAGCAGAAATAACACAACAAAAAAAAACTGTTATTATGAACAGAAGGGTGAATGAAGGTAAGTTTAGGCAACAAGAGTTTGAATTTTAAATTATGAAGGTGATTTGCTAGTCATTTCAAGGGGTAAAAAATGTATTCAGTATTCTTGCATTTATAATGTTATTTATGATCTAAGTGACTAATAAAAATTGATATAGTGATTTGTCTACTTTGTATTTATTGAGTAGGTGTAATTTTTTGAACACTTTTGCTTTTTTCAATAAATGATTTATTAAAAATTACTTTAGCCACTACAAAGCTGTTAAGAACATAAATGCGAGAAAACGGAATAGATTCCTACACTCTAAAGTGGTCAGCAAATCGCATTTGTGACACTGTCTTAACCTTAAAACTTTTTTTTTGTTACTACTGTACTACAATTCTTGTTGAATGAATGAATAACTTCAGAAAAGTTTACGCTTTCTCAGTTTACACTTAATTCCAACAAAAAGATGCAAGTTTAATAATGTTAATATGTATGATGATAAATGGTGATTGACAAGTTAACCAGATTAATCTTCTCTAACAGATAAAGAATATTGTTCCAGTTTTTACAACCTGCCTCCTACCCTATTCCTATTTTTAGTCAGTCTTTATTCAATGCCTACGGTCACAATTCATACTTTTGAAAGCGTATTTGAACTGATTCTCTGTTTTAGTTTTAAAATATTTCATACATAATTAATTATTTCAGAATATTGAAGATAAAACTGTGTTTTTGTGAGGTAGGTTTATGGACAAATGGACAACGGCATCCATTATTTAGTGTGTCTGCTATTTAGAGGTGAATATTATAGATGTCCTATTTGAAGGGTCTGGGGATTGTAAAAAATGTTTGTTAAGTAAAGGTATCTGTTAATAGAAGCTTCATTGTATTTAATCATTGTTTTATTGACTTGAAAAAATTCATTCTTGACTAAACTAGTTACAACAGTAGAGATCTTATCTAATAATAAATTTTTGCCATAACCAATTTCAATTTTTAATATATTATTAAAAATCAAAATTTGAAAAATTTAAATAGTTATTTAATAACAAATTAATTTTTGAATTTATATATTAGCATTAACTCATAGTTATTGTATTTATTTTTATAAAAATATCGATTAAATAATGAGAAAATGAAATTTATGACTTTAAATAAATATAGAAATTATTGAAATAAAATTATTATTTTATTAGGTTTTCTTTAGTTAAAAACTTACCTAAAGTATTTTCAATTTGATCATGAGAAAAATCTCTTGGCACCCATCCACCTAATTACCAAAATAAAATATTTTTATAGTAACTATGTTACAACTTTTATAAATGAATATATCATATCAAGAGAAAGCCACTCACTCTTTTTGGTGGGATCAATACGATCAGTATAAATATATGTAAGAACAAGTTCAAATGCTTCTGGAACAGCATCTTTCAACCGGACTTGTAGCATCGGAGGAGAATGCATCTGATGACCAACTGGCAAATTTCTTTCCAATTGCTAGTGATATAAATAAGCATTGCTTATATAAAAAATGAGTTTAAAACTGAAGTTACAGGCTATTATTCCAAATCTGACAAATGAACATTGCAAGTTTTGAACATTAGTTGAATATAATTTTTTCAATGGAATTTAAAATGTGCAAGAAATGTTCAAAATAAACAGAAGAAAAACCTTGCAGAAGTTGAAACCTCAAATGAAACATTTAAAATTTAAACAGGTGAAAAAACAAAAACAAATATACAATAAAATAAAAAATATGCAAATCATAGATGGACTACAATTCAAAGAAGGATTTCCATGCTTTAGAGATGATGTTACTGTTTTTAAAGTTAATTCTATGCAATACATTTTTAATTGCTCTGAGAGTTTTAAGCAGACACTGTCTTGTAGGACATATTATAGAGCTAAATCTCAACAAACTTCTACTCCTGGATATTTTATATATGTGGACAATGCAGTGGTGCATGATTCCTTCCTAATGTCCATTTTATGCCCATGCAACCATGATGTGAGTGAAGTTACTGTTCATCAACATAATATTGCTGAAGACACAAGGTTAGTATGAATTAAATTTGCTTGTATATTTAAACACAAATATATGTGCTAATTATAAAATATTAGAAAAGTAATTAAAATAATGGAAAAAATTATTTTTTAATACATAATTTTTCAGTTTTTGTACAAACTTTTAAAATTTTTACAAAAATTATATTATTTTAATATAAAT